TTCCGGGACTCGAACCCGGGACCCTTCCGTGTCCTCAGGCCGACGCTCTACCCACTGAGCCGCACTGGCCAGGACGTAAATGTGTGCGTGTGTGTGTGTGTGTGTGTGTGTGTGTGTAATAATCGATATATTAATCTATAGGTATCGATCGAGAGCGTTAGAAACATGTTCCCTTACCGGGACTCGAACCCGGGACCCCTCTGTGTCCTCAGGCCGACCCTCTACCCACTGAGCCACACCGGCCAGGACTAAATATGTGCGCGTGTGCGTGCGTGCGTGCGCGCGCTCCCTTGACTGGGACTCGAACCCGGGACCCTTCTGTGTCCTCAGGCTGACGCTCTACCCACTGAGCCGCACCGGCCCGGACTGACTATAAATATAAATATAATTTTTTTAAAAGCCACGAGACGGGCGGTCTGTGGGGCAGCCCTGCCGGTCTCCTGAGGACCCTGGTGACCCCGTGTCCCTCTCTCTGCTCCCCCCACCTCTCCTGACGCTCTACCCAGTGAGCCACACCGGCCCGGGCTAAATAAATAAATAAATTAATTAATTAAAAAAATTAAAAAAAAAAATCCATGAGATGGTGGGCGGTCTGTGGGGCAGCCCTGCCGGTCTCCTGAGGACCCTGGCGACCTCGTTTCTGTCCCCCCAACGCCTGACGCTCTACCCACTGAGCCACACCGGCCAGGAATACATATTTATATAAAGTATATATTATTTTATTTTATTTTATTTCTTTAAAAACCCATCTGATGGTGGGCGGTCTGTGGGGCAGCCCTGCCGGTCTCCTGAGGACCCTGGTGACCCCGTGTGTCTCTCTCTCTCTCTGCATCTCCATCTCCTGACGCTCTACCCACTGAGGCACACCGGCCAGGAATATATATATAATTTTATTTTATTTTATTTTATTTCATTATTTTTTTATAACCATCCGATGGTGGGCGGTCTGTGGGCAGCCCTGCCGGTCTCCCGAGGACCCTGGTGACCCCGTTTCTCTCTCTCTGTCCCCCCAACGCCTGACGCTCTAACCACTGAGCCACACCGGCCAGGAATATATATATAATTTTTATTTTATTTTGTTATTATTTTTTTATAACCACGAGTTGGTGGGCGGTCTGTGGGGCAGCCCTGCCGGTCTCCTGAGGACCCTGGGGACCCCGTGTCCCTCTCTCTGCTCCCCTCACCTCTCCTGACGCTCTACCCACTGAGCCACACCGGCCAGGACGTAAATGTGTGTGTGTGTGTGTGTGTGTAATAATCCATTGATATATTAATCTATAGGTATCAATCGAGAGCGTTAGAAACATGTTCCCTTACCGGGACTCGAACCCGGGACCCTTCTGTGTCCTCAGGCCGACGCTCTGCCCACTGAGCAACACCGACCAGGGCTAAATGTGTGTGTGTGTGTGTGTGTGTGTGTGTGTGTGTGTGTGTGTGTGTGTGTGTGAGATAATCAATCGATCTCAATAGGTATCAATTGAGAGCGTCAGAAACATGTTCCCTTACTGGGACTCGAACCCGGGACCCTTCCCTTTTCAAGTTGACGCTCTACCCACTGAGCCGCACCGGCCAGGCCGTAAATGTGTGTGTGTGTGTGTGTGTGTGTGTGTGTAATGATCAATCGATATCTATATATAGGTATCAATCGAGAGAGTCAGAAACTTGCTTCCTTACTGCGAATCGAACCCGGGACCCTTCTGTGTCCTCAGGTCGACGCTCTACCCACTGACCCGCACCGGCCAGGACTAAATAAAAAAAATATATAATTTATTTTTTAAATGCCATCAGACGGCAGGCGGTCTGTGGGCAGCCTGCTGGTCTCCTGAGGACCCTGGTGACCCCGTTTCCCTCTCTCAGCTCCCCCTCCTGACGCTCTACCCACTGAACCATACCGGCCAGACCCACACCAGCCAGGGATATATATATAATTCTTATTTTATTTTATTTTATTTTATTTTATTTTATTTTATTTATTTTATTTTTAATTTTTTATAACCATCCGATGGTGGCCGGTCTGTGGGGCAGCCCTGCCGGTCTCCTGAGGACCCTGGTGACCCCGTTTCTGTCCCCCCAACGCCTGACGCTCTACCCACTGAGCCACACCGGCCAGGAATATATATTTATATAATTTTTTATTTTATTTTATTTTATTTTATTTATTTTTATAACCATCCGATGGTGGGCGGTCTGTGGGGCAGCCCTGCCGGTCTCCCGAGGACCCTGGTGACCCCGTGTCCCTCTCTCTGCTCCCCCCACCTCTCCTGACGCTCTACCCACTGAGCCGCACCGGCCAGGGGGAAAATACATACATATATATATATATTTTTTTTTTAAATTAAATTAAATTAAATTAAATTTAATTTTTTTAAATCCTGAGGACCCTTAGGGACCCCGTTTCCCTCTCTCTGCCTCCCCCCTCTCTCCTAACGTTCTAACCACTGAGCCACACCAGCCAGGGGGGGAGAAATACATATATTTATTTTATTTTATTTTATTTTAT